TGGTGTGAACTAAAAGCACACAGATCATTTCTGGTGGGACTTCCAGCTTTTCCTCCCTGCAACAGCCTTTAGATAGAGGTAGAAGGTCTGTGAAGCCCACATCAGCTGTGCTTTTGGCTGCATTTTTTAATTAAAACTTCAGTTCCCTGATTAACATAGACAGTTTCATACAGATCTTCCCTTTTTGTTTCAAAGGACTAACTCTGAAATGGCTCCTTATCAGATAGCATCCCTCCCTCTCAAGACTGCAAAACCTCTGAACACGTCAGTACAGACTATGAGACACTGAAGTCAATGCAACTAAGGCATCTAAAGAGTCTGAGCTTTTAGGTCAGTCTACCTCCAGGGTGTCCCTGTTCCTGCAATCCAGTTTACAAAAGACTGTGCAGGTTTAAATTGCAAAACTCTGTGATAGTTCCTTCTTTCAAACCACAGCGCACAAGTGGTGGACTGGGTGGAGCAGGGGCATGAGTATAAAGCAAAAGAGGATGCTGTGCAGCCTGGAGTTGATCAGTGCTCTGTGAGGTGTGGTATAAAGGTGGTATGAGGTAAAATGACTCGTCTGGTTTCAAGAGGGCTTCTTTACACCTGTGATTAGTAGGGTCTTGCAGAACAGCATAAGGGTCATTCTAGCTCGTGTTGCATGCAGAAATGGCTTTCCAAGAGGCATCAAGAGCTTCTTTTGTCAGGGCACAACACACTGGCTGGGCTGCAGCTGCTGGAGGACAGCTAGCAGACAGTTGTCTCAGCTGCCTGAGCCTGCACAACAGACACTGTGCCAGCCTCAGAACCCAGCTTTCCTTCGGCAGTGGTCCACATTCCTGGACCTGACCTTCAGTAATGCCCTGACCAGCCTGCTCCTAGCCGTGAGCATTTTGCAGCTCCCCTGTCTTGCTCCCATTGCTCTCGCTGTCCTTTCCGGGGGGGGGGGGGGGAGCGCTGCTGGAGCCCATAGGGGAGGTGTCTCTCTGGAATGAGAAGAATGTGGACTCTGGGCCCATTCATGGCAGCTGCTTTTGCAGCTCCCCTCCCTGAGACCTTCTAGGGCAAGAGGGCAGCCAAGATTGCCCAGGATTTACTCTAATCCAAATGTGTTGCCAGGTGGCCCCATATAGCAAGAGCTCAGCCTTCAGACAAGCTCACCTGCTATCAGCCACTCCAATGATCATTAAGTTTATTGCATTTCTGTGCATGGCTGGGGCTGACCTAGCCCAGGATCTGGCCCTGGGCTCCCATCATGGACGTTTCTCTATGCCTGCAGTACAAAGTGGTTTTCACACGTTAAAGGAGATAGATCTTAATCATGAGCTTAGCAAACCGGTCACTCCCTTGGGCAACATGGGTTCTGGAGCTAAATTGTTCTAACCTGTCTCTCCCTACTACGACAAGGCATGGGCTACATTTGGTCTTAGGCAGCAGCTTCCATGTAGTCTCTGCCCTATTATAAGCAGTTTGGGAGGAGGGTGTGTGGGGTTGCAAATTTGACTGGTGTTTCCTTTTTTCAATGTCCAGCTGTTCTAAGGAGATACTGTGCAAAATCCTCCCAGTGGGGTTGGAAAAAATCATGCTCTAGATGGCAGCCCCAGGATGTGCTGCTTTGCTGCCCTGCCTGCAGTCTGACAGAAGAATGCAGATTTAAGAAAGAAGCCACTATAGATTTCCCTCTGGGCAGTTTATAAGGAAGGCTGCTACCGGGCCCTGTGTCATGCTCTGGGTTGACTGGGTGTAGACTGGCTCTGGCTGAGCATCTGCATAGTCACATTTGAGCTGGTGCTTCAGCACATTTAGTCAACGTCACTAGTATAGCACTGTGGCTACCAGTTAGTGATCAGTACCAGCAGGTGCTATCAAAAGAGCAAGGCCATGGAGAGGAGCTTTGCCTCAGCAGAAAAGACCCGTGAAATATTAAGCATCCATCTTCAGATGGGGAGATAGGAAATCCCTTGCCCTCCCTTTTGGAGGTGTAAAAGAACGCCTCTGGGTCTCTTACTCCTCCCTGCCTTGAAGGAAGGGAAAAGAAATCTCATCTTTTGGTCCTTTTTCATTGTTGGGTTTTTGGTTTTTTTTTTAGGAGAACAGGAGGAAGGGGAAGAACTGGGAGTGCCGCACCCTGCACCCTGTGTTGGGTGACACTGCTGTCACCTCCCTGCTGAAGAGCACAGGCACAAGAGCCCATTGAGATCAAAGAGGGCTTGTAGTACTATTGCTTGCCTTGTGGGACACTCGAGTGTCCAAGGGCAAATCCCAGGCCCATATCAGCTGCCTGCCCTATCCCCATTAAGTGTATCACCATCGAGTGTAGCACCCCATTAAGAACAGAGCACCCATCCAGCAGCCAAAGGCAACTGGGAGGGTAAGCAAGCGGAATGTGCTGTGGAAGGGGTGTATGGCTGCTACATGGAATTGATGGAGCCTGTGAAGCCCCATGGGAGCAGACAGGGCTACAGAAGAAGGCTGTACCCACCACCCCTCCCACTTCTGGCCGGCAGAGTGATGTCTGCCAGCCTTACAGCTTGAGGATAATGAGAGAAGAATTAGTGCTTGCAGCAGATCTCCCCCATCTCATCGTAAAGAAGGCCCTGAGGTGGGTCTTTTACCACAAACACAGTAGCTGTTATCAGCTGTTTCAAAATACAACCTCTGTTCCACCCCAGGCCACAAAACAGTAATTCCTCCATGCACTTGCATTGCTCGCACACTGCACAATTCAAAGACCACTGGCTGGGCCAGAAGGGCCGGTTTTCCAAGCCAGGGCTCTCTGTCCTCAGCAGGGTACTGTGGAGCACTTAGGAGCCCTGCAGCTCTGAGGCTCCTGCTCCAAAATGGGGTGTTTCTCCACAAGATCCCAAGTCCCTCCTCCAATAATGTGTCTCTGGGGTGTGGCATGATTCCATCTCTCTGATGTCTACCTCGGGGTGGCACGTGCCCATTGTGGATGCCCTGCTCTCACACGAGGGTGAGCCTGGATGAATGGCTCAGGCCGTGTGCCTCATGTTTGAATGGTTAGTCATAGCTGGAGGGAGCTTCCACCAGAGCCTACTGGGAGGAACTCCTTAGGTGGGTGTGTAGTGCCTTGCATGAACGAGTTGCATTTCAGGGTGTGCTTCCAGGCACAGCACTTAGTGGTAGTAAAATGCCTCAGTTTTCATCCTTTCCCTAGGCTGATCCCCAAAGAAAGCAAATAGAAATAAGCTGCCATTGAGGCAGCACTCTTTCAGTGCACAGAGTTCCCAGGTTTAGCAGCTTTGTGAGGTAGGGTGGGTGGAGGCATTTGACTGACTTAAACCCCTGTTATCATAGGAACAATAGCTAATGGGTTCCAGGTTTTCCACTTTTCATACCCAGCTCACTCTTGCCTGTTTGCTCAGACAAGAATCCCACTCTGTCCAGAAATGTCAAGTGGGCAGTTCCAGGGCAAAGCTGCTCTCAGAGGTGCCTTGAGGAATTCAAAGCCTTTGAGTGAAAGTTGCTCTGTCACCACAACATTTTTTTCTGTATTATTAATTTTTCCAAACTGATTTCATTGTTAGCCATGTTAAATGACAACTTCCGAGAACACTTTCTACCCAGACTGATTGCTGACTGCCCTGGAAACACTCATTGCCTCAATCAGCTTCCCTACCACTCAAAAACATCTATTTCTCAGGCAGGAGGCATCCCTGCATGACCAAGCCACAAGTCAGAGGGGACTTGAAATGCACAAAATCCATCCTTCTGCCATAAGGTTAAGGTCAGCTCACGTTCTTGGCCATTCATACAGTAACTGTCCCCAGCACCAGCCTGAGCCCCAGCCATTTCTGGCCAGACTCGGCTAAATACTGCTTCAACTTCTTCCAGATCCATGAAACTGTGCAGGGGTGGGCTGGGTTCCTGCAACATGAACCAAAGACTGGTGCCAACAAACTGTCTTTCTTCACTCCCTTTCTCAGACCTCAAAAATAGTTCAGATTTGACCACAGGATGCAAACCATAGCAGACAGATGAAGTGAGAGAACTGTTGAAGAAGAGGGAAGGGTGGTTGTTTGGAAAAAGGCAGGTGAATAGGGAAAATTGCCAGTCCCTGCAATCCGACACTTCCCGTCAGTGCCTCCCTCCCCAAATCCCACCATGCAGCCCGTGGTGCTCTTCACAATTCCCCCTGCTTCCTCACTTCACCTCTCAGTGCTCCCTACTCTGGGGTCTGTGCTGCCAAGGAAGGCATAGCATGCCTTTCTGTCTGTCGTGTGGCTTTGCTGAAGAGCTTCACCCTCAAGAGCTGGGACCCCAATAGAAAATGAGAGCTCCTCCCCATTGTACCCCAAAATCTGCAGCTTTGGGGACTCTCATACTTCACATGGATTGGAATGGTTTTTGTTTTAAAGTAAAGCTTGGCAAACTACAAATGAAGAGGAGAGAGACACACAGAAAAATGTGAGTAAGAGCCAGAAATGCTGAAACAGCAGCCCTCATTTCAAGCAGGCGTTTTCTCACGTTTGTAAACAATGCTACTCCAAAAGCATGGCAGCTCCTATGCCAGCGCTGGCTCAGGTTGGGCACCCTTTGCCTGCCCCCTCACTGCACATGCTCTGGAGGTGAAAACAACATCACTGCTGTCAGCGCTCTGGGGTTGCAATCAGGTGCCTTGCAGCATCACTTTACCCCATAATGCAGCTGGATTTCAAAGTCAAGGCTGAAAAGTTAAGGTGCATCTCATTGCCAGCTCATGTGCCAAGTCGAAGAGACGTTGCAGAGTAGAGGAGAAAAGCAGGCAGGAGCTGCTGAGCGAGGGCAGCAGCCACCGAGAAGGGAGAAAAGTTGCTGAGAATTTTGGAGAGCAGGTCTTACCGTGCGGGCTGGCACCTGTAGAAGCAAGGAGCGTGCTGGGCTGCAGAGCTGATGTCCTGGAGCACGGAGCTGTAGTGAAGGGGAGTGACCTGGTGGTGGTTTAAGTTTCCTCCGGTGGTGTGGGAGGGTGGTGTCGTTCCCCGTTCCCCTTTGTTTTAAAGGAGTTACTATGAATCAGTCTGCCTTTAAAGAGAGGGAGAAGGAAGGGGGGGGAAGAAAAATTAATGAGCTACGCCCTGCTTTGTTGGCAGTGAGTCAAGAGTCGCTGGGAGGAAACCAGCGAGTCAAAGGAGTCTGTGCAGGGCTGCATCTGACTCAGTGTGCAGTAGAGAGACCGCAGGCTGGAAAAACGATTGACGCTGATCCAGCTGAGTAATAGAGGCCCACAACAGCATCTGTTTATAAAACTGAACTTCGGGTTGTCATTAAAAAAAAAAAAGAAGAAAAAAAGAAAAAAGTATAGTTACAAATGTGGCAACGGGACTTCAACAATGCAGTCACTCAAACAAACAGCCGGTTGGCAGGGGTCATTCATCATGAGGCCGGGTGAGTCACAGTATCCCCTCCCCGTGCTGCACAGAGAGAAGTCACCAAAGCTGGCAGCACTGGGGAACGGAAATTGGACATGTGGGGTTGTCATGGACAAAACTTTTGGGAATATACCAAGGAGCAGAGATGCTGAAGATTTAGCGTTGTTTTGGTGGTGACTCCGGAGCAAGTTGGCCAGATGGTGGTGGTTTGCTTCCATGGAGAGAGAGCAGGCAAGGAAGATGAAATAAGGAGTTTGTGTTTCACAGTTTTCTGAGGTCAGCGTTTCTTGTCATCTTAAAGACCTCTAAAAATAGATCCTTGAAATTTGCAGAGAATTGGCTGGTGTAGTTGTCTTGTGGATGCTATGGGCAATATTCAGTGGGGATGTGCTTGAGACGTAGGTGAAGGGGGAAGAAGTGTGTCAGAAAGCATTTGGGTTAAAATGTGATGCATATTGTGATAGAGTTGGTGATCTGATACTGCAAGGAATCAAGCCTGCCTTTGCAGAGGCCCAGAAAGAGATAAGCAGATACTGATAAAAAACCTGGGAAACAACGCCTTTCCCACTTACATGAGGAGGACACTGGGTTGCCTTTATTTGAAAGACAAAGCTGATGCTCTTTGAAGTCTACACAGATTAAAAGTCCTTGCTATTTTTCAGATTATTCTTTCCCTCTGGTGTTATTGATATGCGTCTGGTCTAATTTCTAGACTACAGCAACCTGCATAAAAACAGAAGTGTGGATGAAACAGCAGCAAAGATGATACTGATGGGGAAAGACACTGTGCCCAGACAATCCCATGAGAATTTTGCCACTGATGGAAAATACAGATTTTTCTTCCCCAGGACAGAATAACCCTAAGTATATTTAATACCTGTGGGTTAGAATAGGTATTATTCTAAACAAGTGCTTCTTGATGACTTGCATTAATGTTATATCCAGGGATATTAAAATGTATTTGCTTACCCTGCAGAAGGACTGGCATTTACATTGAGCTGCACTGTCCATTTGCCCTTCCCTGGTCTCCCAGCAGAGTTTATTGGAGTGAGGGATGCTTAAGTGTACACAAAATACTGCAGTATGTGGTCCCAAAGCAGAATCTGTGGACCAGAGTTCAGCTGTGGTGAAGCATCCTCTGCCCCAGATCTGTTCAGAGGTGACTGCCCACCTGCCAGAGAGCAGCTGCCTGAACGCTCAGAGAATTCCTTATCTGAGATCCAGTAGCCAAAACCACCTGCATCTAAAACACACTCACATGGGGCAACTACAGGGGAGCACCCTAAGAAGTTGGGTATAAAGTGATCCATGAATGGCAAAACATTATTTGTCCAGAGAGAGCAAACACATTCTGTATAAATTGCTCTCTAGCCTAGGAGACTGACAGGCAATGGCCAACATCAGATGCATCACATGGAGGCAGTGGGATTCTGCAGTGTCAGCTTGCCCACAGGAGCATTGCTTCCTAACTCTCCATCTGGAAATGTTGGTGCCCAGACATCAGAGTAAAGAAAAGCAACCAAACAGGCCACATAGGCTGTGACTATGGCCCTGGAGGAGCACTGGTACCCTGCCAGCAATTGGCTTCATCCCTGCTGTCATACCTGTCAAGCCAGGTAGGAGAGGGGGTAACAGTGAGTGTCAAGGGAACAAATGTGTGGATATCTGCTCCTGTTTGGGAGCAATGCTGCATGTGGGCAAGATGCTCGTTTAAGCAAGTAAAGTTAATCCGTAATGTCAGGGTAACCCCCTAATGTCAGGATATGGTGAGGCCACAGGAGAGCTCAGCTTCCACTGAGCAGATTACTAGCTCTTTAGGATATTTCCACCTTGCATCTGGACGAGAAGACAGAGTAGAAGTGATAGGTAAAGGTAGGAGAACATTTCATGTTGATAAGATTCATCATGTTTTCTGTAGCTTTTTGTGGATGAAGTTAGCTCACTAAACCTTTGTGTGTGTGACAGAGAGCCAGCTCTATCCACCCATCTGGTCTTTCTGCGTGCCTCCAGCAACTTCTTCCTTTAGGGTGTGTGGTTTTCACAAGGCAGGTTGCAATAGGAAACTCACCATATGAAAAGTCTCATCATGGGATCAGAAGAATAAAGCATGCTGCCAGTTTGACATACTAAGGCACTCACACCATAGTGTGCCTAAGGTCCTCAGACCATAGTCAACAGTGTCCCCTCACCTAGGCATCATGCATTTCACAGGCTTTTCTGAATGCCAACAGCCAACTAATACAAGGTGGGCAGGTCGAAGCCATGAGAATTTAAGATGTGGAAATCTGGACTTGCATTTCCATGTTCAATAATAGGGGTGAAGCTGTCCCATGTGTGCCATGCCTTTGCTGAAGCTCGTGTCTGCTGTATGTCTGCTTGTTTTGTCATGCCCCACACATTTGCAGACATCACTACTGCGTGTGCACAGTAGCCCTTGGTGTAACAAGATAAGCATTCACAGTGACATTAGATAAGACAAACATCGAGCTTTTGCAAGCCCAGATCAAAGGAGGAATGGACCACAGGGAATGGGAGATGGGGTGTGGATTTAGGGGTGGAGGAGGTATGGACAAGCTTGGCTTGAAGCATCCAGAACATTCTGTTTCTAGAGGGGGCGGCGTGGGGGAGGAAGGGTAGGGGAAATAGGCCATGGTCTCTCTCCAGTTTCTTTAGATGCCAGAATCTACGCTTGGGAGAGGTCTGCAGCTGAGTTCCCGTGCTCTCTGGGATACTTTCAAGTACAAATTCAGCATGAATTCAACATATGCTGTTGGGACTTGCTTTTCTGGATAGCTGTCTGCAAACACACGTTGCACGTTAACCCCCTCAGTCTAAATAGCATGTCTTTCCACCTGACAATACTTAAACCCTTTCCTCTCTATAATGTGCTATTTACTCTGTGCAACATCCTTCTGGCTGGTTGAAGAAAAAGTGGAAGTGTTAGGTTTCATGGCGCTTGCTATTTCTTTGCTTGTCATGACATGGAGAAGGTGGGGTTGAGCCTGAGCTAACATGTGGGTTAAAAAAATAGAAACCAGCAAGTTTCATACTTCTCTGTAGCGGTGCCACTGATATGTTTGTGTGTTCATATCACACCTATTGTTGTGATACGGTAATTTGCAGAGCCATATGATAGGTCTCAGAGCCATATGATAAACTGTATTTGTCACTCGTGAACCTGAAGGGTTTCAAATGGGAGCATCCATCCACCTGAGAGGAAAGGGCGGTGCTTTCTTTATAACTTCATTCAGTTCTGAGGAAGCAGATATTGGAAGTCACACCTATGGTTTTTGTCATTTCTTTAATGTGTCCTGTCATGTTCCTGTCCCTCCAAGGATTGCTAGATTTCCAGTACTTAGGGAAGCTGATGTTACAAGCTCAGTGGTGCAAGAAAGGGGAAGATTGTGCAGTCAGCACTGAACAGATATAACTCTTCCCATTCACAGTCTTCTCTTTTGCTGGTGGAGGTTTTTTTTTTGGTTTGGTTTTGTCTGACCCAAATACTTTGGTAAAGTGTACGAAGAACAAAACCAACAGAAACATCTACATCTGATTTTTCCAAAAAACTGCCAGACTGACTGGTCTTCTAAGTTGGGTGACAGGTACAGAGTTGAAAATGCCCTGGGTTTGTAGTATTTGTGTAGGAATGGTTTGTCAAAAGTTTTCACAGGCAAGACTTGCAATTGTTTCCTCCAGGACTTGAGCACTATGAATGGGGTCTATGCCAGAATGCATTCCCCACATCCCACTTACCACATCTGGGAAGCCCCCCAAACTTGCCTTGTTTCTTAATAGGAATAAAAAAAAGGAAACCATTCCTACCATAATTTGCAAAGTGATTAGAATTTAGTTTTGTCCTGCCGTATGAAAAGGACCATATACTTCAATCTTATGTTGGAGAGGGAGATGAAGATGGGTTATGATTCCTCTGACATCTCGTGCTGCTGTAGAGTACAGACATTCACATTGTGGTCTCTGCAGCAGTTTTGGAGATTCTGCCAGACTGGATAAATGGCAACCCATTTGCAACTGGCCAAGGGGTTTGGACTAGTTCTCAGAGGGCCAGTTAAGCCTTGCCATCCCAGACACTGTTGCATGGGCTTAATGTGGTCCTCAGGCTGAGGTTCTGAACACCTGGAAGAGGCAGCATGAACTGACTGGGGCTGGGAATAGATACCTGAACCTGGAAAACATGAAACCTATGAAATCATAACTTTCTTCTATGTTGTGGAGCAAAAGGTGTGGTGAGATGAGAGCCATCTGAAATGAGGTGGTCAAACTGAAAAAAGGGAAGTTCAGGTTAGATATAAGGAAGTTCTTTACTGTGAGGGTGATGAAGCACTGGAAGAGGTTGCACAGAGAAGTAGTAAATGCTCCATCCCTGGCAGTGTTCAAGGCCAGGCTGGATAGAGCTTTGGGTGACATGGTCTAGCATGAGATGTCCCTGCTCATGGCAGGGGGGTTCTAACAGGATGATCTTAAGGTCTTTTCCAACCCAAACCATTCCATTATTTCCATAATTTCTATGATTTCACTGGTCTGTCCCTATTTTTATGGCAGGGGAAACCACTCTGCATCTTGTTTTCCCTTACTTTAACCTCTACCTCTATCTCTTCCTTTTATTTTATTTTTTTATTATTGGAAACAGCCCAGCTGAAGACATTTGCTTGTAACAAGCCAGTGTTACCTCTGCCCTAGCAGACCCATCTGAGCTGTCACTTTCACCAAGCACCTCTCCCATTCCACATCAAAGAGGCAGTGGCTGGTGGTATTCTCCACCTGCACAAGAAAGCCTATGTCATCCCTTCTGCCAGCCAAGGAGGTTTTCTTTATTGGTTTCTCCTGCTCCTGGCTCATTTCTATCTCTGCCTTCTGTGGCTGCTGTATTGCGCAGTATATGCTACCAATTGCTTCACCGGCAGGTTTTACCACTTTAGTGAAGAAAAAAAACTCTGCAAGCACCAAGAAATGGCATGAGTTGACCGTGCCTTATTATTGTCCTTTCATTCAGTGCTGACAAAGGGAATTAGCAGCCTGACCATCCCTGCAGCCTGGACTGCAATTGGGTCATTGGCTGTAGAAATGGACCTTGACTAAGAGGCCAAGGCAAGGGCAAGTGCCATTTGTGCTGTGTTTGAGATTTAATAATGGGACATTTTTCTATTTACCTGGTGCTCCCACATGCTGTTTCCATGTGTTAGCTCTACTCAAGATTTTCTGGACTTAGAGAAGATGTTGGTGTCCTCAGAAAGTTGTAAGACCTCGCTGTGCAGCCA